TCCCACTGCATCTCCCGATGGGAATGGAGCTACAGAAGACAATTAGACCTGCAGCGATAAGAAAGGGGACTGCAAGTCAGGTTCTTCAGCACTGCTTTTGGTGCTGGCATCCCCAAGCAAGCAGTTTGGTGTCCTTGCATCTCAGTTTAACTCTGTAGAAGCAGATAAGGAGCCCAAATAAACATGGCTATGGGTAGCCTGTCATCTTAGCTCTCCATTTTGCTCCCAAACCTGGTCCCCTTGCTGATCATAATTCCCTTGGTTTGGATTCATCTGGTCAGAAGATGTCCTGTGAGCTTAAGGTGCATTTGCTAAGTGGGTGGTAGAGCCCGATGTGGACATGAAGAGCATTTGCACTGATGCTGGAGGGGCTTGAAGGTTGTGAGGTCCTCTGCTCTCTCAGGGATGACTCAGGGTTTGGTTCTTGACTGCCCCAGTGTCGGACGAGGACATTTTGTCTGGGGCTGCTAGGAAGATGTGGGCTGCTTCCTTCTGGAACCCAGAGGATTAATAAATTCTGGAAAAAAATGCATTTCAGCTCCTGGAGAATCCCTTATTGTTGCATGCCCATGAAAGCATTTAGCACCTAGAGCCCAACAGGGGCACCGAATTGTGCTGCCAGGTGCCTCGTCTGTCAGAGGGACAGGGGAATTTGGAAGAGGGAGCCCTCTTGCAGAGATCCTGATGTCTGCTGCCATTCTACAAAGCTGTTAGTCCAGCACCAGAAACAAAAGCGAGAGCCCTTTCGCAACAAGGCTTGGGTATTATATGACCAGCCGGGCAGATTCTGGCACGCAGCCTCTGCTCTTAGGAAATCAAGTAGACTCTTTGTCTGCTTTCCAGCAGGAACTGCTCCTTTCACTCCACGCTTGATACAGGGAATCGACTCCAGAGCAAAGGGAAGTGTTCACTCAGCCAGCCTGAGCCTCCAGGGGATGATTACAGGTTAACCCAAGAAGCGTGTGAGTCTCGGCTCGCCTGGGCTGTCAGCCGCCTCGCGCTGCTTTTCAACTCCCGCGTCCGCCTTCGCCCACCGCTCCAAATGATGTCGAACCTGTCGGAGAAAGACGGCCTGATTTCCAGGGTGGAATTTCTGCAGATAAATGCAGCAGGGAGGAGCAGTTATACATAGTTAAATAAATAATAATTGTGATGTGGGAGGGCTAATTTAAGGGGTATAACATGCTTACTTTAAAATATTTTAAGTAAATATAAATTAGCTTGCAAACGATAAGTGCAATTGGTTCAGGCTCAGATTTTGATCACACAAGGGCTGATGCTTCAACACTGCAATTTCCACATTAGCTGGAGAGTGCTCATCCTCACAAACCACGAGATGTTTCCGCATCTGATGACATGCGTTCAGCCCTGACTGCTGCTGACCTCGTTGCTGTGAGTATGGGAGAGGTCTCCACAGAGCTGATGACCAGGGCTTTGGAAGAGGGGAGAAAAGAGCGGTCCTTGTGTTGGGCTCTCAGTCTTTCATCCCAAAGCTGTTGGAGGAAAATATTTGACCATCTGTGACATTTGAAGGCGTGGACATGGTGAGCTGGGTCTCTGGTGGTCTCCTTCAGCCCTGAGGCAATGGAGTGAAAGCTGTGGCTGCTGGACCATCATGCAAATATACAAACACTGGTCATGCAACCCCAGCTTAGTGCTCGACCACCTGGGCAGTGACATCCCAGTAGCTCAGTTCCCTGGTGCCCTGGCCATAGCCCCATGTGCTCTGCCCACCACCCAGGACCATGACTTCCTGATGGCCCATTCCGGGCTCCCGACCACGGGCGGGCGCAGCTTTCAACAGAGCTCCCATGGTCACAGCAGGATGGGTGGATGAGGACTAAACATTTGAAAAATGCATGCATCATGATGAGGAAATGGTAGCGGCCTCATGTTGCCCTTTCATTGCAGGGCCAGCACGATCCTTGCTCTCTCTGCCTTCAACAGTAGTTTTTCCAGCCCTCCTTCCTCTTTCCCAGCCTTCCATTTTGTTGTTTCTGGTATAGGGCTCAGAAACAGCCTTGCAGAAACATATTGCACAGGGGAGACCTTTTCTTGCCCCAGTGTCGTGCATGCCCATGCTATGCTGGAAAGAACAAACTGGACTTCTTGCTGTCCTTGCCTCCTGGTGACTGGGTAGCAGCAACACATACCTCGTGCCTACACCATCACGAAGCGTGAGAGACACCTCAAGCATCCTGCAAATATAGCTGTGACCTTCCTGGATACAATTCGTTTTGCTTTCAAGGATGCAGGTGGTGGCAACCATCCGTGAGCATGGAACTCAGACTCTGCTCGGTTCCAGCAGATCTGGGACCTTGTGTGCCACGCAGGGTCGAGGCTTTGGAGAGCATGTCATGATCTTCTCTTGAGCCAGCTCTCGCACGGACGGCTTCAGCTGTGACTCAGCAGGTCTGGTATCTCTCCATGCCTTTAGGTGCCCATGGAGCACGAGGGAAGTTCTCCTTGGCTGTCCCATGTTGCAAACAGCCTTTGACATATTCATCCTCAACACCACCTTTCTGAGGAGGGGCAGTAAGGGTGTCCCAGATGCCACAGACATAGACCCAGGGTCACCCAAAGAGAGAGAGCTGTGAGACAGATATCCCAGGTCCTTCCTCATTGCCTTTATACTGAATTTATAAGTCTTCCTCCAGTTTGTAAACTGGCTATATTTAGTATAGACCGATGGCAGGAGAGTACCATTTTCTGCAGTCATTTTACTGTTAATATTCCTTCATTCCACATTTCTTGCTTTAAATTTCATATTAAGTTCTTTACTTAAGAATGAGAAAAAAAACGAGATTATTCTCTTGACTTACAGTCCTATTTCGTCCCATCCTAGCAAGTCAGTCTGCTAAATATCCAAAGAGTGGATTTCTAAGCTGTACTTGTTTATTTTTTTCCCTAATTGAGATTTTTTTTTGTTGGGTTGAAAATAATGTTATATTTTTTTGGTAAAGAATCTGTGAACTGTTTGTGAGAAATTATCTCATAATGTGTGGCTTGGGCTTAACTAACATTTTCCAAGCAACTTGCAGAAAGATAAACCTGGGGAAACTGCTGCATGCATGCAAAACCCTGGCTGAACCTTTGGCTAATGTGAGATAAAACCCATGGACCACTTGCTATTCCAGATGCTATAAATGTGGTCTTCAAAACAGGCAAACTGCTGTTTGTGGAGAACAGAAATGAGTGAAGACAAAACTTTGAGGGCAATGATAATTCCTTAATCCTTTTATTCCCTAATTTTTTCCAACAGTTGGGGACTTTGTAAACAAACAGGCATTTCTTTGAGAGGTAAAGGAAAGATGAAAACATTAGAGTGGGAAAGAGAGAGGATAAGGCTGAGAATCAGAGCTATTTTTTCCTATAAGGTATGACTTCACACCAGATTTAGTTGCATGGAGTATGTGGCCACATTTTAATTAGCGCAGTCAGCTTTCCAAAGCTTAACTTTCCTTGAAGTCCAGATACTGATGACGTCAGTTTTCTTCATTTTTAATGTGTATGTTCAGCTGCCTAGTTCAGGTACAGACTGGCTCTGCTCCAGCAGGGCTGGGCAGTACATGGCAGGGCCAGTGCAGCTTCTGGACACACTGGTCTTCTAAAAAACCTCTCTGCACCTAGATGCCCTCACACTCCAGACCCCCATGCCTGGAAACACTTTTCCTATTACTCAGATACTTAAAGTCTTCATTAACCTAGGTGATGGAGAACTGACTTTATAAAGGTCCAGCAAGGGAGAGTGCAAAGGTTAAACTGATTTCTAAAACTGAGGGAATCAAAGTGGCTGCATCTTCATATGTTTAGTGTACGAGTGCTGCCAGCACCTGTGATTTTTATCAGCAGTCTCATGATACTGTGTTTTTCATAATGTTCCAGCTCACTGTGTTGGCTGATTAAGTGAGAATCTCCGTTTTTATCTTCTCGAAAAACAACCAGCACAGCTACGCTTTATCTCTTGTGGTTTTAGCAAAAAGCTTGAAAGCGTATCTTCATATGCATGACAAACCAGTGAAACAAAGTGAATACAAAGAAGAATAGTTTAGGAAAAGAATGCTTATTTTTGAGCCGGTTCTGGGGGCTCTTACTCATTTTGGGAGGCTTGTGGGGTGAGACGTACTTATCCCATAGGCTTTGCCATGGGCAGGTAGAGCAATTAAGCCCTCACAGCATCTTTCAACATGGTGGGAACCCAAGTTAGCAGTCTTGACAAAGGTGGCTCTTCAGCACGGGCTGCATCAGCTTGCTTGGAAATGATGCAGGCGCCTTCTCTTGCCATCCCAGGCCATGCGTTTCTGTTGAGGGTTGCTCCTGCCTACAGCCATGGGCTGATGAATCCATGCTCAGCTCTGGAAGGAGACTGCAGAGAGCAGAGCAGGACCTGGAGCTGGTGCTCGCATTATACGAGTGAGAAATGGCCTAAGATGTGGTTAATGAAATGATAATATGTGGATTTGCTTTGCTGCAATGAGGCTTCAGACTGGAGAGATGAAATTGTGAGGAAGAGATGAGAGAAAATCCATGCCGGTGCTTTCAGCATGCAGTGAGGCTTCAAGAGGAAATTCGCTCCTAAGATATAATGGTTTCACTGGAACCATTGCACCTACAGCAAATACAATTAGTCAGGAAGGAACTGTATTAATTGCAGTGTATTGAAAGTAACGCTTTCCTGTCAGGTAGTTTTGTGGCTGTGAAAAGAAAGTTTCCACGTGGAATGAGAGGTTCAGGAATGTGGGGTCACCTCCCAGAACTCACATTGAGGCAGCTGCTTCTTTAGGCAGTACTGCTTGAATATTGTCATCTGAGGGCATATTAGTGACTGTCTGTGTGAAATGAGAGCATTTGCTCATTGCCTACCATGGGAAAAAATATTTTTCTGAATAAAATTATTCTGACAAAAGTCCAGGTGGGTTAAGAGATGAAGAAGGGCCGTAAAGGAGGAGGAGAAGGTCATGCAAGTCCAGTCACCATCTCTGTCCTTTCTCTTTTTGCAGTTGTTGCAATCTCAGGACGTGAAGGAAGACGCTGTCCTTTGCTGCTCCATGGAGGTAGGAAAGCATGCATTTATTTGAAAGATGTGGCAATGAAAATGACTTTTCTCCATTGCAAGTAGCAACACCAGAAATCACCCGATTATGCAGATGAGATGAGCTGGAAAACCAAGTGCTTGAGTTCCCTGGGATAATCAAAAATCCTGTGGCCTCTTTTGCCTGCTTTTTATTTAAAATGGGAATGTTAACTCTATAGCCCCTCTCTCTTCCCTTGTTTTAAGTGGACGCCACCTAGATTTGGTAGCTGGGATCCCATCACCAGTTAGCTACAGTCAAAACAGGTTATGTACAGGGGGTTAATTCCAGAACTATTCTGTTGCCTCACAAGTTTATGGAGGACTTCTTATGGAGTGAGGAGTATGAGGAGACTGCAGAGCCCTTCAGACCAGCTACAATTACTCTTTTTCATATGTCCGTACCGAGCAAGTGTCCTGCATAGCAAATCTCATGGCTGCTAGAGTGACTGATTTGGATCCTTGTTCCTTCAAATGTCACCTGCAGGTTTTAAAGCACAAAAACACCTGTATTGGAACACCAGCCACCCCGTTGACCTGCCTTTGCTGCACAGTAGCTCCCGTAGATGGGTTTGCTGTGCTCAGTAGCAGATGTGCTGAGAACTGGTTATAGAAATACAGCACAGAGACAAATGCTTAGGTTCATCAGCTTTGCTTTTTGGAAGCGATTGGCCCATGGGGATATAGATGCTTTCCTTAAAGAGCGTGGCAGAAGTAGGAGGCAAAATTGCAACCTGAATGATAGAAATTGAGCAAAATGACAGGAAGCTGGCAAGAAGCTTTTGCATTTTTAAGGTTGGAGCATCTGGAGTATAAAGGCTGGTGGACCGATTGCTGTCCACTCTCTCATTCCCTCTTCTGTGGGGAGACATCTCAGAGACATCTCACCCTGCTCCACAAAGCACTCTGAGCAGCAAATTGCTTTAAAAATACGTGGCTTCCCTCAGGGAAAAGGTGCGACAGGTAGAAATGCAAGCCTGGCCATTGTGCAAAGGGCAGGATTTGTTATGCATGCGGGAGAGCCCTGCTTAGTCAGATTAATGACTGGGAGTCACCGACAGCTGTGAATCAGTGAGCAAATGAAGGCCCGGCTAAGAGGCAGCGCTACCACATCACAGCCTGCACTTTGTTTTGACAATAGCTTGGGTTTAGGTGGGATTTTTCCAAAGCATCCAGCGCTGCTGCCTTTGAAGTCAGTGGGAGCTGAACCATTCACTCCTACTGGAGTGAAGAGAGGGCCAGTGCTAGCGCTTCTGGAAACCTCACCCTCCGTGCACAGCAGCTGTGCTGCAGAAAGGGGGGCAGCACTTTTTAAGGGGGAAAAAGTGGCCATTGTGGGGAAAAACAGCTCTCAAAAACGCCGTCACGGTGAACCACGTGCTGACCCCTGTCCCTCCCCGCAGCTGCAAAGCACCGGGCGGCTGCTGGAGGAGCAGCTGCCCGAGATGATGACGGAGCTGCTGGCCATCGCCCGCGACAAGATGCTGTGCCCCTCGGAGTCCATGCTGACGCGCTCGCTGCTGCTGGAGGTCATCGAGCTGCACGCCAACACCTGGAACCCG